AATAAGCATTCTTTGTAAGTGGGCAAACCTGCAAAATCAGCAAGGGGACAAATACTTATTTCCCCCACTGTACATACATATATAAATACATACATACGTACATCCATACATAGTCAACTTTATTCATTCCAGATGGGAAATTTGTTAAAAATGTAGCTGCATTGGCCGGGAATCGAACCCGGGCCTCCCGCGTGGCAGGCGAGAATTCTACCACTGAACCACCAATGCTCAGATATTGGGCCTCTGAGAGAAGGGGGGGCTATTCACAGTTCACACAAATGATTACCAGACAAAGGGTGACCTACTCTGACCCCCTCCCCCTCCCCCATTTAGAGCCTAAGCTCCTGGAATGATGTCACCATCTCAGCGTCCAATCAGAGCCCAGACTCCATAAACTCTGAAGTCAAAGCAGCCAAACCCAGAAAATGACGGAGCTCTCCTCTGAGAACAGACACAATTTTGGGGAGTTTTGCTTGTTTTTGATGACATTTGGTGGGCTTTGTTTGATTTCTCAGGTTACTACAGATTCAACAGACACAGCTTTGGTAAAAGCTTTTGGTAGTTTTGATAGACTTAGATTTATACTTAGACTCGTACTTTATTGATCCCTTGGGAAGCCTCCCTCAGGAAATTAAAGTTACCAGCAGCTTACAGGGGGAAAAAAGTGGCACACAGAGAACAAAATTAAGCAAAAAAATACAATAAATACAGATTAAGTACAGGTACACACTAAATGTGAATAGTAAAAAAAAATAAGAATATAAATACAAAGTAAAAAATAAAAAACCCTAAATTAAGCAAAAATAAGCAAAGAATAAGAATGTAAATACAAAGTAAAAAATAAAAAACCCTAAATTAAGCAAAAATAAGCAAAGAATAAGAATATAAATACAAAGTAAAAAATAAAACCCCTTAAATTAAGCAAAAATAAGCAAAGAATAAGAATATAAATACAAAGTAAAAAATAACCCCCCCTAAATTAAGCAAAAATAAGCAAAGAATAAGAATATAAATTCAAAATAAAAAATGAAAAACCCTAAATTAAGCAAAAATAAGCAAAGAATAAGAATACAAATACAAAGTAAAAAATAAAAAACCCTAAATTAAGCAAAAATAAGCAAAGAATAAGAATATAAGTACAAAGTAAAAAAATAAAAAACACAAAATTAATCAAAAATAAGCAAAGAATAAGAATATAAATACAAAGTGAAAAATAAATACCCCAAAGAAAATCTAGGAGTTTGGTGGATAGATTGACCAGTGATATGGTATTGCGCTATATGATAAATATGGGGTTCTCATTTTACAGAAAAATACAAATGTACACGAAAAAGCTGTTTGATGGAAAGTCTGTTTATTCTGCCACAGAATAACTAATAACTCCCACTTTGTAGTCCTTCCTCTCTGTTCTGGGGTTATATTTTGGACCCGCCTGCCAGATTTTTTATGTTTCTCGGCCTGAAGGAAGGGGGGGGGGTTAGTGTGGTTTGTGTGGAGCCACACAATGATGAGTGGTTCATTTTTTTCTAAATGACGGTGCCTCCAAACCCTGACTTTGATTTTCTGAGTCCTCTGATTGCAGGGTTGTAGGAGCTGTGCTCAGCTTTGAAAATAAAGCGTGTTTCTCTATGGAAACACACTAAATAAATGCACCATTACTTTTAGACATAATAGATAATGTGTCTGGGAGCTTCTTTAACATCAGGTGTCTGATTCAAACCCATGATCGAGGCTTCATTTTGCTTTTGTTAGGCTCATAAAAGCATTTGTGTTTGAGGTTAAAGTTTTCAGAAGCTCTGAAGTCTGTAGCCGGTAGGGTTGTCAAAAGGAAAATGTTGTATCCGGATACGATACTCATTTTCAAAAGTATCGATACCAACTCGGCTCACATCCAAGTCGGCCATTTTGATTAGGTCACCAATAGGAAGATCCCAGGCAAGAAAATCCTAATTGC